TTTGCTTAAAGAATATACTCTTAAAAGGTGGTACTTTAGACATTTTTAATGTGTAATTTAATAAAATAGTACTAATGAGTACTAATGATATTAATCATTATTAAATATGTTAAACATTATCTTTTCATAAAGGATGTACAAAATGAGTGTTGTAAGAAAGTTATAGTTATACTTATTTGAACTTACTTTAATTACATTAAAAAATCGAATGAGTTTAAGTATTGATGAGTATATTAAAACTTATTGAAATTAATTAGAATGAACTTAACATCATTGTCTTTATTTATCTATTATTTAAAAACATAACACACAGAAGATATTCAAAAAGCAATGATAGTTGAGTTAAATGCATGAATTAACTATTTTAATCTTATTTTAATCTGTTTCTCATGTCAGCATTAGAATAACGTATGTTTAATAAAAAGAAGTGCTACATAAAATATGTATTTTATTTGGTTAATTATTTGGTTAAGCAGAAACACATATTTTAGTTTTGACAAATAGCATTAATTTGTTTTATTAATCCTTTGATAAACAAAATAAAGAAATAACATTTTTTGATAAAAAAATATTTTTTTGAGAAACCATTCATCTCATTCATTCAAAGTAAAAATGATTTAATCATTCTAACTTAAAAATAATATAATCTAATAAAACTTAAATAATGTTATTTTTAGTAATAGTATATTATATTATTGTTATAAAAAACAAAAAGAACTTATAAAAATATTATTTCTAGTTGGTTTTGGTGATGACATTTTTAATGTTATTTAACTTCTTCAAAACGAAACTTAAACTTTAAAATTAATAAAAATGTCACAACTTGATGTTAGTTCATTGATGGTTGTTGTTGAATATTTCAATGAACTTAAAGCGTTGAAAGAATTTATTTTAATCAATAAAAAATGTCAAGATGTATTGTTATCATTTAAAGTTAATCCTGAAATCCATCAACATATATCAACTGAACTACTTCGTTTCTTTCCTCATATACAAACACTTTCTTGTTCATTTGAAGATTACCAACAATGTCAAATCATATCTGAGTATGATTTGTACAGGTTTAGAATTGAACGAATTCCATTTGAAAAGATTTTACCATTTTATAACAAAGTGGCGATATTAAAAATTGGTGTTTACAATGGAACTTCACCTATTCTTCCAACTCAGTTTAATACAAAAAATTGGACATCATTACAATCACTTGAAATTAATGCAAATTCGCAAATTGAAACATTAGAGTATCCAGAAACACTTACTCGATTAAAATTTGCTGAATGCAAAAATTTAAAAAGTATAATAGGGTCTAATCAACTTAAAATGCTACGACTATATGATTGTAAGTCTATTTCAATGATACCTAATGTATTTCTCACTCGTTTAGAACTTATGAAATGTGGTTCATTTAAATTTATTGATGCAACTCCTTACATAGATTTAAGACATATTATTATTAGTGAATGTTCTTCTCTTTTAGAACTTTCTATTCCTAATTCAGTATCAACATTAGAATTAGATGGATGTACATCATTACAACGATTAGAACTTTCATCGAATCTATCAAAAATCAATTTTTATTATTGTAACAGAATTAGGTCGTTTAAAATTCCTACAAAAATAACATCTCTACGTCTAAGTGATTTTGAATTATTGTCAAAAATTGAGGGTATTGAATTATGTAAGAATATCCAAGAAGTCAAATTAGTGAATTGTAATCAATTAATAAATTTCAATATTCCATTAACACTTAGTACTCTTGAATTAAAAAATTCATTGTCATATTATAAGAGGCTAGACCTTTCTTGTGTTAATAATCTTTTATCAGCTTCTTTTATTGACTGTTTAACTCTTGAAGAAATTAATTTCCCAATGCATTTTTCTAATTTATTCATCGATCATTGTGAATCATTAACAACTCTTCTTTTACCATCTTCATTGACTAAAGTAAATATTACAAAGTGTGGGTTATTACAGACTATTAAAACGAAAGCAATGTGTGAATTAATTGTTCAACAATGTAACATTTTATTTAAATTAGAAACACCAAATATAATAAAATGTTTATATTATAATTGTCCATTGTTATCTGTTGACCAACTCAATACAAATAAGAACAACAGAGTTATTAAGTTATCCTCACTTTACTTCTAATTTATTTATTTTCATATAATTAAAAACTTTTCATATTAAAAATTTTTTAATAAAAAACCTTCAACAAATAAATCATTATAAAATCAAATTTATGTAGAAAGATTAATGTTTCATAATTGAAGTTGTAAAAAAAAGATGGAAGGTAAGTGATATAATTCTTTTGGCTTTTCTGTTGTACAATATTTCAATTAGTTATTAAATAGATATAACTCAAATTAATATCTCCGCTGTTCTTTCAACAAAATCTTAAGAATGACTCTTTAAGGGATAAACTCCTTGAGAGCTAATTCATAAGAGAATGAAGAAAGTCATCTAAATAAAATACATAATATTTCTTAAAAACAAACAGAGTAATGGCAAGTATTTTATAAGCGGAGATTAGTAAAAAGATTAAAAAGGGCCTTTAATAGGTTTAATAGGAAGTTCAAATCCAAACAACTTTTAGCGGAGATTGAGACTTGGAAAAGTTAATCCCGAACGTTACAAATTGCTGGACATTTTTTATTCTTTAAAAATAATGAAAAACATAAGAATATTCTTACAATTCAATTGCGTAAACTACAAAGATTTAATAAATATGGGGGTTGAATTGTTTTCAAAACTTCCAAGAAAAGAAGAGAAGATAAAAAGGAAAGAATTAAGAGATGAAATAGAAAAGAGAAAAGGAAAAGAATATGCAAATGTCAGTAGAAATGAATGAAATAGAAAGTCTTGTATGTGAGTCAGGGAATGAAGAGAAAAGAAATGAAGAGAAAGAAAGAAAAGGAAGAAAAGAAAGAAGACAAGGGAAGATGTGGACGAATGAAGAAGATAATAAATTGATGAGAGGAGTAGAAAGATATGGAGAATCGAAGTGGGTAGAAATATCAAAAGAAGTAGGAAGTCGAACAAGAAAACAATGTAGAGAACGATATATTAATCATTTAAAACCGAGTATAGATACGAGTCAATGGAAAAGAGAAGAAGATGAAATTATTTTACAACAACATTCAGTTTTTGGGAGTCATTGGTGTTCAATTGCAATGTATTTAAATAACAGGACAGCACGATCAATTCGGAATCGTTATTATTCATTAATTAACAAAAAAAGCAATTCATCATGTTTTAAACCATCAACTATGACTCATTATAAGATATTAACTTCTTCTTCTTGGTTTTAATTCTTCTTCATCTCATTCTATTTTGTTTTTCTTCTTTTTTTTGTTTTTTTTTTGTTATTGAAGATAATAAGAGAAGAAATAAAAAGAATATTCTAAGAGAAGAATAAACTTAAAAATTCAATGTTGCTTTTACTTATCTCACTTACAACAGCAATCGATGTTAGTTGTAATATTTCTTTTTGTCAAGAATGTAAAGAGGATCATTGCTCACTTTGTATGGATGGATTTTTGCTTCAAAATGGTGAATGTGTTTATGGAAGATCAGTAATAAAACATTGCAAAACTATTAAGAATAATAGGTGTTATAAATGTTTTGATGGATATCATATTCATCATGGGGAGTGTGAAAAAAATGATATTTTATGTGTTGAATATCATAAAGGACATTGTCAAAAATGTAGAGAAGGATATACATTAATTGGTGATGAATGTAAAAAGTGTAATGTTCCAGGATGTGTTGATTGTGATGGTGATGTAAACAAATGTAACTGGTGTTATCATCAATTTTTAAGAGTTAATGGATCATGTATTCAAACAATTGATGCTTGTGATACTTATGTTAATCCATTATTTGAAAAATCACCTTGTTTAACTTGTAGAGAAGCATATTGGATTGAAGATGGAAAGTGTGTTAGTTTGTTCTTTTTAATTCATTTTTATTTAAAAAAGAAAAGCGTTCAATAAAATAGAAACCCAAATTGAACATTGTATGTCAGTAAATAAAGCTCATTTATGTGGTACATGTTATGAACCATATGAGGTCAATGAAAATGGAACAGCTTGTGTTAAAAAAGAGAAAAAACAAATTGATGGGTCTGAATTTAATTTATATGTTAGATGTGAATTATTACAATTAGATATTCCAGAATGTATGAAATGTGATGATGGATTTTATAGAAGTAATAAAACTGGAGAATATAAATGTCATGGTTTGTTAAATATAATAAAAAAAAGAAATACAAATAATATTCAAATAATAATACTTAATAAATAGAATGTACTGTATCTGATAAAACAACATGTGAAGGAAAAGATAAAGATAGTTGCAGAAAATGTAATTCAGATTGTTCATTTGTTAATGGAAAATGTGAACTTACTAATTGTGCAGAACATTCTCTTCCATATGATAGTATTCCATCTAAATGTAAAAGATGTAAACCAGGGTATATTCCTGTTGATTTTGAATTTTGTAAGAAAAGTGATGGATGTTTAAAAAAAGTAGGAGACAAATGTTCTGAATGTTATGATAATTATTTTATAACAAAAGACTTTTCATGTGAACGTTTGTTATTTTATTTTAATTGTTTATTGTCTTCTATTTAATAATTCTTAAATTAATGATTACAGCATGTGATGTCTCTTGCCAAACTTGTTCTAATTCTGCTAAACAATGTACAAGTTGTGTAAATGAAGGATATTCACATAGTTATGAAACTTGTGAAGTATGTAGTGATACTGGATGTAGTAATTGTGATGAAAATAAAGATTTTTGTACACATTGCTATGATGGATATAACATTGATGAAAATGGAAAATGTGTATTAAAATGTTTTGAAACTGATGGTAAAGTTTGTACAATTTGTCGTGATATGTATGATGGTAAATACAACTTTTATTTACCAACAAATGGTACTTGTGAAAGATATTCAGAAATTGCTAAAAAGTTAAAAGAAAAGAAATGTGAGAATGATGTTTGCACTGAATAAAAAACTATTTCCTAATTGAATTTCTTTTCTCGTAATTGAATTTTATTTACTAAAAAAGAATAAGTTATTAAAAATAGTATAATAACATTTTTTTATAACTAAATTATAATATAAATAACGTTTTTCTTTTTTAAATCAAAATTAATTTTATTTTTATTCAACTATAACATTTTTTTTTTACTATCAAAATAAAAACAAAAATTAAATAATAATAAAAATATTTTGGGTTGTATAACAATTATTTTTCTTTTATTCAAAAAAAAAAACAGTTGAACATGACACAACAAGAAGACGACAACAATTACTCAAATGAAATAAACTCTCCACAAATGGAAGAAATCAAAACTGATATACAAATGAATGAAGAAAAAGAAGAAAAAATTGAAAAACAAGAAAATAAGAGAATAGAAAAACCACAAACGAGAAAAGAAAGAGAAGAATATCAAAAACAAAGTTTTATTGCACTAAAAAGAACATTAAATGGATTAGTAAACAAAGTTAGTTTAAGTAATATTAAAACAATTATTGTAGAATTATTTAAAGAAAATTTAGTCCGTGGAAAAGGGTTATTTGTTAATTCAGTGATAAGAGCCCAAGACGCTGAACCAAATTTTTCAAATATTTATGCTACTTTAATTGCAGTAATTAATACAAAAATTCCAGCTATTGGAGAATTAACAATACACAGAATAATTCATCAATTTAATTTAACAATTAAAAGAGAAGAAGAAGATGGATCATTAAGAAAACTTCAATTTATTGCACAACTTACAAATCAACAAGTCTGTTCAGTCACATTACCTCTTCAAATATTAATTCAATTAATGAAAAATCCAACAGATGAAAATATTGAAAAAGTAGTGACATTATTATTAAATGTTGGAGAATATTTTGATTCAATAATAAAAGGAAAAATTCAACCAATTTATGAGCAATTAAGAGGAATTGTTTCTAGAAAGAAGGCTTCAGAAAGAATATATTTTAAAATTAATCAACTTTTAAATGAACGAAGGAATGGTTTTATTAATTATCCTTCAGTAATAGAAGAATTAGACCTTATTGAAGATGAAGATAAAATTACTCATACTGTTGATTTAACTACACCATTAAATACAATGGATGAACTTAATCTTTTTAAATTTGATGAAGAATTTGAACAAAATGAAAGAAAATGGGAAATTAAAAAAGCAGAGATTATAGGAGAAGAGAGTGAAGAAGAAGAAGACGATGATAACCAAATACAAGAACAACAAAAAACAAAAGAAGAAACAGAAATTGAAAAATTTGATGATCAAACAGGAGCAGAAGAGATATTTTTAAAGAAAAAGATTTATATTACCATTATGTCATGTTATAATTTTGAAGAATGTGTACATAAATTATTGAGTCTTAAATTAAGAGAAGGTGAAGAAAAAATATTAGTAGAAATGGTTATTGAATGTTGTTCTCAAGAAAAAACTTATAAAAAATATTATGGACTTGCCTCTGAAAGGTTATGTGTTTTACACATTTTATATAAAAACCTTTTTATTGATCAATTTAAAATTCAATATCAAACTATTCATCTAAAAGATATGAATCAAATACGTAATATAGCAATGTTATATTCATATCTTTTTTATTCAAATGCTATTCCTTGGGAACTTTTTTCAATTATTAAATTAACTGATGATGATACTACATCTTCTTCACGTGTATTTCTAAAAATTATGTTTCAAAACTTATTTGAAGAAATGGGAATGAAAGAATTTAAAGAAAAACTTTTCTCAAATGAACTTCAAGAAAGTGTTAGAGGAATGTTTCCAACTGAGGACAAAGAACATATTATTTTTGCTTTTAATTTCTTTAAAGGAATTGGATTAGTAGAATTAGCTAAACCATTACAACAAAATTATTTAGCATTAAAAGAAAAAATGAAGAAAGAAAATGATTGAATTTTTTGTTATTCAAAAAAAATGTTATTTAAAAAAAAAAAAGAAAAAAGAAAAAGACAGAAAAAAGAACTAAAAGGAATATTATATTATTAATAAAAAAAATGATGTTGATTTATTTAAATTTAATAATTGTAATATGTTCTGCAAATCAAATTAATGGAAATACTAATAATGAATGGATGTCATTAAGAACACTCATTGCAAATGATAATAATATTGAACAATTAAAATTAATAAATAAACAAAGACTAAAAAGATTAAATGATATTGAAGAAAAATATATGAAAGCAACACAACGTTCAAGAAATTATGAACGAGAAATGGCAAAAAGAGATAAACAACAATTAGAAATTAATAAAGAAATTCATGAACGAGCAAATGCATTTAATTTAAAATGGATGAAAAGTAATATTAAAGGAACATGGAATAGAAAAAGAACTTCTGAAAGAAATAATTTTAAAGAACAAACAGAAAAAGTTATTCCAAGTGAATATTTATTAAAAGCGTCACCAATTGACAAAAATCCAGTATATTTAAAAATGATTCAAAAAAATAAAATAAGAGAAAAAGCACATAAAGAATTTATGAAAAAAAATGGAAAAACATGGAGTGAAACTGAATCACTTTTAAATCAAATTAATGGAGTTGTTGGAAAAGTAAATGAACTTGAAAAACAACGTAAATTAAGAAAGAAATATTCTAAACCAAAATATGTAAAAATTGTATATAAAAATAATGGTCCACAATATTATCGTAAAAGATATATTCATAAACCAATTACTCCTTATATTAATACTTATTATAATAAACCTTTTACTCATAAAATTTATAAAAAAGTTATTAAATCTATTCATCACAAACCTATTAAATATGAATTTAATAAAGATAAAAAATTTAATGCTTTTCTTCATGACGATACTTGGAAAAATCAAATGCAATTGAAATGGAAAGAATATGAACAAAAAAGACTTAGCTCTAAAGAACATGAACAAATTACTCGTGATATTAAAAAAATGGAATTAGAAGAAAAAAACGCTTTAAATGAAATTAAAACTCGAATGACTCAATCAGAAAAAGAACTTCAAAAACGTTCAGAATTACTTAAAAAAGCTTTACAACATGAAAGAGAAATGAGTGAAAAAAAAATTGCTAAAGAAATTCAAAAAAAAGCTGTTGAATTCGCAATTGAAAGAAATAAATTAAGAAGACAATTTAAAGAAACTATGAACTCTGCTTTTAAAAAATTACAAGTTGAATATACTACTAATGGATCAGAAAAAGTAGATAATTCAAATGAAATGAAAGAATTGAAACTTTTAACAAAAAAAGTATTAAAAAACTTAAGTACTGATGAAACACCTGTTTCAATTCTGATTTAACCAACTCATAAATTTATTGTTTTGTTTTAATATTTTGTATTAAATAACAAATAATAAAAATAATAAAAAAATTAAAAAATTATTGTAAAAAAAAAGAAGAATCTTTTCATTGATTTTAGATAAAGAACTTAAAACTAAAATTTATAATTTATTTTATTAATGAAGTTAATCATTGTTTTACTTTGTGTTATTTTGTGTTTTGCTCAACAAAGTCAAGAAAATAAACCTGAACCTTCTCGTGTTCATGCTGGTACTGCCCAAAGACAATTAGACAAAGTCCAAAGTGCTTCAAAACAAAGCCAAAATTCAGTAGAATTCCATCACAGCCATTTTGTTGAAGAACTAACCGTTTCAAAAAAAGTATTGGAAGAAACAAGAAATACTATTGTAAATGGACAAAAGAAAGTTACTGATATTGTTGGAAGTATTGTTAATGGAAAACTTCAAGAAATTAATAATTTACAATTAACAGCTCCTGTATCTTCACGTTCAAATATTAAGAATTATATTGATGCTCTTGATAAAAGTGTTAAATTAGAAAAAGAGACTCGTGTTAAATCACTTTCTGATAAAATGAAAGTACACACCCAAAAATTAACTGAAATGGAAAAAACACTTCAAGAAGCTGAAAACGCTGAAAAAGTTGCACATGACACTGCTTCTAAAACAATTCTTGAAATGTCTACTAGTGCTTCTGAATCATTAAAACAAGCACAACAAAACCCTGAACATAAAGGAGATCTTAAAGATGTTAAGATTCAAACAAGTCAAGGAGGAGTAGAAGTTAAACAAACATTCCGTGAAGAAGAACATAAACAAAGAAAGACTGTTAAAGAAATTAAAAGGCAAATAAGATTACTTCGTGAAGCAGCTCAAAAAGAATTTAATGAATTTAAAGAGAATTTAAAAACAAAAATTCAAGAAATGTTTGTTGACTCTAAAACTAAAATATCTAAAGTTATTTCTGACGCTCTTGAAAAAGCACAAGCAGAAAAAGATGCTAAAGAAGAAAGTGCTGAACAAAAAGCTAAACAAGCAGCTGGAATGAACAATGGAGCTTCTACTCAACCAAATAAAAAATCTGGAAATCAAATTCCAACACAAACACCAGTACAAAACCAAGCACCAAATTCCCAACAAACACACTAAGTGAAGTTTTTAAACCAAGTTCAATAATATAGTTAAATTTTTTTATTATCTAAGTATTAAATTAATAATATTATTCATTTTGCAATACTTTAAAGAAAGAAATAAGGTCAGCATAATCATCTCTTTGTATTTTTGATGGATTACTAAATATTAATTGTCTCATTCTATCTTCCGATCTTGGAAATGCACCAAAATATTTTCTAAGATCATCAAGTGTAAAAATTGGCATAAAGTAGTTTGGTAATTCATTATTAAATATTGACCAATTAATTTCATCTTTTCTTATATTTATCATTACCTTATATTCTTGATCATTTTGAAGTTCAAATGATTGAGGTAATTGTTCAATTGCTTTTACAGCTTGTTCAAAAGTATCAAAATAATGCATAAATAATGAATCATTATAATCACCCATTTCTTTAATAAAGATGATATTTGACCAAATTTGAGATAAGTCAGCTTGTATAATTGTATATAATAATAAAGGTAAAAATGGTTTACTATTCACACATTTTAAACTTATATAATAACACGTTTGTTCTACTGCTTTTAAAGCACAATAAATACACATAATCTTTTCTGAAGGAGACCTAACTGCATCAAGCTTCCTAAAAAATTTAATAGGAATAGCAAGTATTTTATTAAGAAATTCAATTGGACCATCATAACCAAAAAATTTAGGTTGAAGACATAAATAAGATGTACAGGTAGAATGACAAATTGAGTCAAATATTACTGGATCTGTATAATCTAAATTTTCTAGTTGAGAAATTGAAGGAGGCCATAGATATCTAAATAATTTATTATAAAGAAATACTTTTAAATTTGATGAAAATGTAATAAAATTAAATCCATTATCATCTTGCCATATTACATTATTTTTTACTTTTTCAGATACTTCTTTAATAAATGAATTAATCATTTGTTTTCTTTCACTTAAAAATTTTTCTTTTGCAAGACTAGGAAATTCAATAATAAATGTCATAATTTTCTTTTCTAATTCAGAATTACATTCTGAAGATAATCGAGAATGAAATTTTGCTATTTCCATTTCATTTTCTCTTAAATTGTTAATTCGTGTTTCTGTACAGTCAATATGAAAATAATGGGGAAATGCTCCACTTCTTATTTGTGGATCATTTTTTTCATCTTCTTCAATATTTGGTATTTGTTTTCTTAACTCATCAAATGAATTTTGTAATTCCATTAATATTTTATACATAGTTGTAGAAGGTGGTGAACTAAATTGTGATGGTTTCATTTTCCAGGACCATGGTAATGAATTATTACATATAGGAAATTTGATTGATATGGTAATAATATGATTCCCGTTATATGTAAATTCATCAGCTCCACTTGCATGTGTTGTAAATATCGGGTCATTCGTTGGATATGACTGTAATAACTCTGCTAATATATCAGGTCGATGATTATTCGTTTGTGCTCCGTTGAATATTGTTATTACCTGTTCTTCAAATTTACCACATAACCCATTTAATGTAACAAACATCATTGTTTTAGGAGATAAATGGATTAAATGAGTTTCAACAATTGCTACTGAAATAGGAATATCTTTGATAATATCAAGTGGTGGCAATAATAAAATGATATTAAAATGAACAACATATCTCATCAGATTTTTGTTTGATATTAAATAATTGATAAGTGGGTGATTAACCATAGTTTCAGTCGGTTCAACAGAGCCACTACTTTGTTCTCCTCCTTTTGAATTTCCTACTATTTTTGACCATCCTCCAAATGCACTTCCAATAGATAATGACGTCCTTGAATATTGTCGTTTAATTCTTTGCATAAATCCTAATTTTTAAGTTTTATTTTTATCATCTTTGAATAACATAATATTTTTTTTTGTTATTGTGATGTATTTATAGAATACCATTTCTATAAATAACACATAACAAAAATGAACAATAATCTATAAATACAACACAAAAACATAAAACAAGAGTCAACATTTACAATTAACATTTATTTATTTAATATAAATTATTAAAAAATATTATTTTTAATTTAAAAAACTTCATTCGGCTTTTTTTTAGTTAAATTAAGAGATAAATGTAAAACAATTTGAAAAATTAGATATTATTATAGGATATTTCTGATTTATAGAAGTACTTTACTTTTAATAATAAATAATATCCATCCTTTTTTTTCTATTTTTAATAAATGAAATTTCTGCTATTCTAAAATTAAAACAGTAGATATTACATTCACTATATTTAAAGACTTGTTAAAATAAACTCATTAATTTAATTAACTCTAATGAATACTGTTCGTGTTACTTTTATTGGTCATCCTGCTACTGGAAAAACTGCTCTTATTAAACAATATTTATATCATAAAACCATTAATGAATATCTCCCAACAATACAAGACACTTACAATAGTTTAATTACTGTTGATGGGTACAAAACTGAAGTTACTCTTGTCGATACTTCAGGTGAAGAAGAATTTCATTTACTTCGAGACAGTGAACTTACTCGAACTGATTACCTTGTTTATGTTTATTCTGTAACTGATTTGGGGTCATTTGTTAATGCTCAAGAAGACATTGCAGAATGTCTTTCTATAATAGCTAATAATGGGAACAAAGGATATCCATCAATTCTTATTATTGGTAATAAATGTGATGCTAGTCATCGTGTTATTTCACCAGAAGAAGGTGAGAAATTAAAAAATAAAATTCAAAAGGTTTGTCCATGTGCCTTCTTTGAAACATCAGCTACAACAAATCTAAATCTTCAACGTGTGTTTAATACATTTGTTACTGGAATATCTACTTCTGAACACAAAATGAATGAAACAAAAGAACAAGATAAAAAATACAAAAAACCAGTTGCTTTTAAAACTACTCTTGAAGATTTAGATCGTCCTCTTTCTCATCAAAACAGATTTATTGCCTTTTTCTCACCAAGAAGAAAAAATGAAAAACGATAAATGAATGAATAAAAGTAGTGTTATCCAAGTAATGTATTTAATCAATTGAATATTAAAAAATTATTTGATTTAACTTTAAATAATAATAAATTAAAAATTAGTTAATTATAAGTGTTAATAGACTTTTCATATATTCTTCCTTACACAGTGGAGACTAATTCTATCCCTTAGCTTGTTTTTTAAAAAAGAGTCATTTCTTTGTTTAAATTATCATTTAAGTTTGTCTAAGAAATTGAGAAAAACACTTCTTTATTTTATATCTTCCTATTAAAATATTTTCAACCTTCTTCACTTATTCCTTCTTTTTAATCCTTTGTTTTCTACCTTAGTTTTAAAGAATTTCATTTTTCTTATTTTAAGAATGAGAGAAGAAAACATTTCATTCCCACGATATTACTTTGACTAATTTCTTTTAATCTTAACCACACTTTAGTAGATCCTTTTCATTGAATAATACCTTCATATATTTTTTTAATTTCTTTATTGATAATTACCAATTATTATAGGACAATATGTAATATTCCACTGTAATAAATTGCTGCACCATTTGTAACGTTAACTAAGATATTTCTAATTCAAATACATTGTCATAACCAAATAATAATGTGAAGAGCCAAAATATGAATTGTATTAATGTTTATGTGGTGTTTCTGACATACTACCTTCTATCTAAACTATTTTGTTTAAATTTAAATAATAATAAATTAAATAATAAAAAAACCAATCAATGAATTACATACAACTCTTACTATTTTTTGAAAAATATGCAACAGTGTATTCGTACAATAAATCTGCATTTGGTATTAGTATTGGACATTTATATAGTCCTCTACTATTGTATTTATAACAATTATTTACTAACAATTCAATATCTTTCATAAATTCTTTAATATTATGATAATCTCCTTTTCTAACTTTCTTTCCAATATAATTTAAATCAATAGGATGTTTTATGATATTGACATAATCAGTAATAAGCTCAACATTAACAGCAGAAATGAAAGACGCAAATAATTTATTCTTTTTAAGATAGCTTAAACATCCTTCAAGTAATTTTTTTAACTCAAGACTTTGTTTTTCTGTAACATCAACAACTGAAACAGTGACTGGTGGTATTTCATTTTCATTTCCTAATACGTCTAATACTCCTCCAACGCCTTCAATTTCTTTTAAAACTTCTTCTTGTTTCTTTTCTCTTCTTATTCTTTTTTCTTTTTTAGGATGAACTAACACTTCTTCTATAGGTGTAACAATTTCTTTTTTTTCTTTTTTTCTTAATACCTTTTTTTCTTCAGATGGAATTTCTTCTTCTATTGGTGTGATTGTAACATTCTTTGTAACTACTTCATTTTCTTTTCCAATTTCAAATTCTTTTGTTTCAACTGTTTTCTTTAACTCTTCTTCTTTTTTCTTTTCTAATTCATTTTTTTCTTTTTCTTTTTCCTTTTTCTTCATTCTTCTAATTCTTTCTCTAATTTTTCTTGTTTGTTTTCTAAGCTTTTGTTTACTAGCTTCTCTTGATGGGTCAACAATTTTGTGTTGATAAAAAGTAAGTGCTGATCGAGAAGACCTTGACTGAAGAGCATCCTTTTTTGGTTTAGTATATGTTGTAACTTTTCTTTTTGTTTTTAAATAATCTTCAAATATTTCTTTGTTCATTTGTTCATCTTCGTCTTCTTCCTCTTCTTCTTCAGCAATTGTGTCATCAGTAATAAATGCAATTTGTTCTGCAAATATTTCTTTAATTTTTTTTTGTTTTTTTACAACAGAAGCTGAATTAGTTATTGGTCTATTTCCTCCTCCAGTATCAGTATTTACTCCAATACTTTTAGCAACTTCCTTTTGTAATAAACTGACTAAATCCCATCTTGTTTTAGAAAGTTCTTTTTCATCATTCATACCACAATCTTTTAAAGCATTCCTCAATTGTTGAAGTGTAAGTTTTCTAAGATCACCATATTTGTCTTTAATTTCCATATTTAATTTAGATGTTCCAACTTGTTTAGGAATGTATCTTCTATAATATTCAATTAAATGTCTTGGGTCTGTGTCTTTAACAGTATAATCGGTTTGAAGTGTTCCTTTAACCTCTTTAGCCAATACACTCATTGACGTCCATGGAGCTCTTCTTACTTCTTCAATTAATGGCTCAACCTTCTTTTTTAAATCTGGATCAAATCCTTGTTTAGCTGATATCAGTTGATTATATTTAAATACTTCAATATCTTTATCTTGTAATCTCATTTTACCTGCCATCATCGCTTCATAACAACAAACTCTTTCTGGTGTTACTTTAGCAAATAAATCATCTTCTGTTGGAAGGTCAAATGTTGGATTAAGTTCCCAACTTCCTCCACTATCATTTCCTTTTCTATTAAATTTTGCACATTTTCTAAGAATCTTTCTAACAGTGGTTTCTGTTTGATTTGGAAAAGCATCAACAAAATCTGTAACTCTTACAGTTGGATTACTATGAAATTGTAAATAAATAGCTGTTTCTAGTCTTTCTTTATTAAATGTTGTTTCAGTTTTAGATCCTGGAACAGGTATTTCAGTATCTTTTTGTGGTTGTTGTTGTCCAGCAACAAATAAATGATCAATTTCTCTCACTGTCCATCCACTTCCATCTTCTGATCGAATTAGTAAAAAATCTGTTTCTGGTATTTTAGTTTCATGAATAGGTGTTTTTGTCATTTTATTATCTAATGACTGAATAGGTTGTCCTGATTTTACTTTTCCTAAAAATGGTGACTCTTCTCCACGCTCAACAATAACCATCTCACCAGTATGATATTTTTCAGGTACAGTAGCCTCATCATCTCTTCTACAATAATTACGAATTCTTGCTCCCATTCCAACTTGTGATAATAATGGTGGAAATTCTTCTATATATTCTATTAAATGAATTTTACCATCTTTTGATGATAATTCTTTCATATTTTGTGGTACATAAGTATTATTTACATTAAACCTTTTTTGTTGTAATTTAACTGAAACTCCTTTAATATGCATTTTTTCAGCATCTCTAGCTGGAAGTAATGGTCGATGAAAATTTTGAAGATCAGGCATAGTTAAATGAGTTTGGAATGTTTCTAGTCTTTGCGCTGGAATAGAGTGATAAATAATAAATTTTTTTTGAGTATATCCAGTCTTTCCCATAAAATAATATCGGTCATTAGATAAATCTTCTTCAAGTCTATCATCAGCTATTTTCCATATTTTTCTTTCTTTTTTCTTTTCTTCTTTTTCATCTTTCTTTTCTTTTTTATTTTCAGTATCACCATCTTCTTTCATATTTTTATCTCCATTTTCTTCTTTATTATTCTCTTCTTTATTATTTTCAGGTTCTATTGGTGGTATCTTTTCTTTAATACTATCTGAAAATCCAGGTAATGGCTCTAATTTTGCTAGTCCAGGTCGTGTTGATCCATCAAATGATGGAAGAACAAGAGTTACTTTTTTCTCTTCTACAGGAATACTAGCTTGAACTTTTGGTTCAACAACTCCAACAGGAGTATCACTAGGAACTTCTTCTACTTTAACCTCCTTCTTTAATGGAACTACAGCTTCATTTAATAAAAGGCCAGTATCATTTAAATCTAAATACAATGGTACTGGTTTCCTCTTCTCAACTTCTGTCTCATCCCATAAAATATCTGTTTCCCAACAGTCAGTTTGAAGTAGCTCATTTTCTAACGTAAATAATGACCACTCTCCAGTTGATTTTTTATGTGTTTGAACAACAGGCTCTGAAACAGGATCAATTATTCTCCAAATAGATTTTTGAATTGTTGGCTCAATCATTTCTTTTGCTGTTATTTTAACTGGCACATCCCAATGAATAGCATTTTCCCATTCATCTAAAATGACATTTGTGTTTTCAATATGAATAACATTAGCATCAATTTGTTTAACAACATCATCATTTTCAATGACTTCGTTTACTGAGTTACTCTCTTCAACTTCTTCTTCAGGTTGTTCTTTTTCTTCAGAATAAAAAAATGCATAAAAGGGATGTTGTTCATAGTAATTCTTTTTATGGTGTTGACTCTCATTTGTGGTCGGTTCAGTTGAATAGAACTCGTTAGCTATATTAGGAGATTTAGGAATTGTACCTAGTGTTGTATGAAGCAGTTCATTCTGGTGCCTACGCTTTGGCTTAAACATGTTTTTTGGGAAAACATCAAAACAAGTAAGGTGTTCACGATGACAAGCTTGATACATGTCGATCTAACTATCCACCGACTGATTTTAAAGTTCCTCAAATATTCATTGCTCTATTTATAAAACTATTTGTTGACAGAATTTTATTAAAAATTTTACTAGTGGTACCATGAGTAAAAAACAAGTAAACTGAATTTCGAGTTCATTTTGAGAAAAAGTCTATTCTTTAATTCTTTATTAATATTTTTTACTAATAATCTCATGACTTCTGAGATTATATCTTTTCATTAACCTCATACAAAGAAGAATATTTATGAAACATTTTTTTGTTTTTTATTCTTTTTTTTTATTTGTTTTTCAGATGAAGATACAAAGTTTAAATGAAACGAAAAGACGTTTAAATAGAATATAAAAGAGTGCTTAAGAAACTGTTTAAAAATCATGCTAGGAGCGATTCAACAACGAAATCGAAATACTCGGTTTGTTATTTTTCTTAGTTTATACTTTCTATAACTTATTATTAAGATACTTTGGAATTTCAATTGAGTGTGAAAAAGTTTTTGAGACACGAATACCAAATTTTTTCTCTACAGAACAAATTCAATATCCCCCAAGTGACTGTGACAAAATTTTTGCTAGCTGTTGGATAAATGAAGACACAGTTGTCCTTGGTTCAAAAGATAATCAACTAATTGTATGGAATGTTTATGAAAAAACAATTAAAAAACTTAAATTACCAAATACTGTCATTAATTTTGATAGAGGCTCTGGTATTCATGACGTTGACTATTATCCAAGTGGTGATAGTGGATTATTGGCAAGTGGTAGTGATTCGCCAAATGATATTGTCATTTTTGATACAATACTACTTTCTCCTATTGCCTTACTTAGAGGACATAGTGACTGGGTTTTTGGTTCAAAGTTTATTGATGAAGACGTGTTATTTAGTGGAGGAAGAGATGGCAAATTATGTTTCTGGAAGATGGATAAAAAACCTAGCTATTATAATACATACCCAACAAATAAAGTTCATATAGAACAACCATTTTTTGAAAGAACCATTCCAGAAGTTAAAATTCGATGTGTTGGAATTCAAAGAATGAAAAAAATATGTTATGCATTGACATCTGAAGGAACTGTTGGTATGTGGGATGCTGAGCTTATGGAACCTATTCATGACGAACAACTTGAAGACTCATATGAGTTAGTTACCATGGATGTTAAACAAGATGGAAATGTTATTGCTGTTGGTTCAAGGAGTTTCACCACTATTCTAGATCCAAGAGATAAAAATGAGGTTGTCATTATAGGTCATGTTGACGTTAATTGGGGAGTAAGAAGTGTATTGTTTTTAGACAATTATCTTGTCATTGGAGGAGGAAGTGGTAGTGTCTCTTTTGTTGATATGAGAAAACCTGGGAATTATAAACACACCATTTATCACAAATGTAGTGGTACTGTTAGAAATACTTTTCCTGACATGAACGAAACGGATATTCCACAGGCTGTATATACTATTTCCTCTAACCCTTCGAAGACAAATCTCTTTGTTGGTGGAGGTCCATTACTTGTTGGGGTTTCTGGCTATTTTGGTTCAGTATGGAATTAATTGTTTGTAAAAATAAATGCTTTTTGTTACGTTATTTCGTCTAATAAACCCAGAAAGAATTGAATTAATTATTAATGACTTTAGCATAAAGAAGGAATATTATAATAATGGAACTTGTAAGGAAAGCAACAATAATATTTTTTGTTCTTTTTGCTGCTGGATTTTCTTTGTAATAAATTTCTAAAATATCAGTATTATCACTCATATCAACTTCTTTTAATATTAATTGAACAACAGGCTTCTTATAATACGTCCCAAATGATGGTTGGTTATAAACTGTTTCTTCAATATAAGAACGTTTTGGATAATTAATAGAAGTAATTGTTGCACCTTCTGGTAAAACAATATCAACTTCTTCATTTGAAACAATGCCTTTGAAATCTACTTTTAAAGGAATAACAAGCCTTTTTTGTTCTTTGATTTGTTGGACAGAAACGTCTAATGGATAATTGTAATTAACTTCAAATGATGTTTTCCATCCTCCAAGTAAAGGATATCTTGGTGGTAAATATAAGGTACTACTTTTTGGTCGTGATATTAAACGACCAGTAGTAATAAGACCAGTGCTATCACGATATTCTAAGTCATATGCATTTACTTCAACTTCCATAGAAAAGTCTTTAAGATAAATACCTTCATAATTAAAGTCATTTCTATTAAACTCCTTATTTAAGATTGCTCCATTATTTTTCATATCATCTATTTCCATATGAACATAAATATTATCTTCATTAATATTGACAACTTTTTGTACTCTACTATATGTCATTGGATGGAGAGAACTTTGGAAATGATAACTTATAAATTTAAATTCAGTAGGTTCATAAGGTCCAAACTTTAATCGGTTTGACCCTTCTGTTGTTGATTTAATAGAAAAAGCAATAGATTGTATAGACTTAAGATTAAATAATGTTGTACATTTAATATGATCAGAAAGTGGACATAAATGAGTTGTAAAAAGGAATTTATATTTTTCTGATAAACTACGTTCTTTTGGATAATTTTCAAGAGCATCAATATGAAGGTATTTACATGTAAATTTATTTTTTTGTTGATCTAATAAGTCGACAATAACTTCAATTGTTTCATTTTCAGGTTTAGCAATTACTTCAAATTGTAATTCTTTACCATTTTCAATGCATGTGAATTGAGTCATTTGAAGTGACTCATTTAATGGAAGAGTAAAATGATATTGTTTCAAATGATCCCCTTCAACAGAAAACTCCATTGTTCTTTTAGGAAATGGTGTAAAATCAATATTAACCTCAACTTGATTTTTGGTGATTGTTGCGTGACAATAACAAATAATAAAAAGAAGAAGAATAACACCAACCATCGGTTGACTTTGTTTTTTGATTCATCTTTTCAAGTTCTGATTTTAATTATTCTTTATTTTTTCAAAAAGATATTAAATGTTATATATAACGATAAATTAACGATTCTTCGAGAATAAATAATAAAAATAGAACTGGAAAAATCAGATAATATTTCGTATAATAAAATAAACTATTAGAATAATTTGATGAGTGAAAATAATTTGAAAAGAGAAAGAAAAAACAATCAAAAAGTAGTGCAGAATCCCGAGATTGTAGTAAAAGAATCTATATAAAAATATCTCTTCAAGTATTGAAAAAAATAGTAATACAAAAAATATTTTTAGTTTTTCTTTTTTCATGAAAATAAAAATTAACCATAAAATGAATAAGTAACACAGTAATTATTCAGAATCACCTTCTTCCTCTTCTTCTTCCTCAGAAGCTTGTTTTTTATTATTATATTTTTCCATATCTTTTTTGTATTGTTCTTTAGCAGCATCAGCTTTAGTTTGATACTCTTTCTTTTCTTCTTCTCCAAGAGCTTTCCATTGTTCAGAAGCAACTTTGGAAATCTCTGTAAATCTAATGTCAGGATGTTCTTCCTTAATAGAAGCTCTATGTTCATTTAAATAAATAAAATATGGTGTTGGAGGTCTTTTTGGTCTATTTGGATCCTTTTTATCCTTTTTAGCCTTTTTGTCTTTAATATTTTTAGCCTTAGAAGTTTTAGTATTTCCTTTTGGCATTCAAATTGAATGAATACTTTTCTCTGTTCACCCTTTATATATTTCCTTCTTTTTTTTTCTTTTCACTCTTAATGAAAAAAAAACCATGAACAAAATTAAAGGGAAATAGTAGTTCAAAAACCCCTTCATTTTTTCACATCTAATTTCTTTCTGTTTTTTTATTACTCCATCTAGTTTCTTTTTTTCTCTTCTGGATGCAATCTCATATTTAAAGATTCTATTTTTATAACATCTTCTTTTTAGTCTACTTAGCAGACTCAAATCTTCATTTCTTTATCCTTTTCCCTCTCTTTCAACTCTCTTCTTATCATCTTTCTTAAAATTTTAATTTTAAAACTTCAAATTATTGGTTAGGCTTTTTATTCAGAGTAAGAATAATCATCGAAAGAGTATAGTTTCTGTAATAATGTGTATGTATTATTTTCCTACCTTATCTTTTAGGATTGCAATAACATTCTCTTACAACTAACCTGTCCTTTACTCAGAAAGTAAGATTTCTTTTCATTTTAGAATTTTTACTTTCTTTTCTTTTCAAATTCTCATTGTTGGTTCAGATAATATTTAAGTTATCATAGTACCAGAAAATAATTTATTGTTATTATGAAGTCATTATCAATGATGCCAAAATCAGTAAAGATTGAATACTGTAAAAAAATGGGAGTCATATTACCAGAGATGAGAAATAGAATGAAGGTTGAACGAGAAATTAGAGAATTACAGCGTACTACAAATATACTTATTCCTTCAGGTGTTTTTAATAAATGTGTCCGTGAAGTTATTAATGAGTATACAACGAAATTATTTAGAATAGAAAAAGATGCAAATTTAGCACTCCAACAAGCTGCAGAAAGTTTTTTAGTTTCTCTCTTTCAAGAGGCGGATATGATGGCTCGACATTGCAAGCGAGTAACCATTCTCGAGAAAGATATGTTATTGGCAATGAGATTAAAATCAATTTAATTTTAAACATTTTTAGGAGGTTGATTGAAATTTTATAAAGGAAAAAAATAATTATATTTAATTGTAAAAAATATTAAAAAAATAAACTAAATTAAATTTGTAAAAATGAAAAAGAAAACCCTGGTAATAAAATCATTGAATGGAAGAAACAAGAAAACGCCATCTTGAAGATGATATTTTTCTACCAACATTAAAAAAACGAGTTGTTGATATTAAAGTGGAGAGTGTTGATTCAAAATCTAAAACCTCTGAGAAGCCTTGTGTTATAGAAATCGGTATTTTACCACCAGCCTCTGAATTAGAAGAGTTAAGCTTTTCATTGAAAAAGGGTTCAGATGGTGTTTATGTTTGTTTTTACCAATTTTATATTGACTTAGTTGTGACTTTTCTTTTAATACAATAAAGTAATTCTAAGAATATAGAAGACTCATTTTATAGAAAATTCGTGGTTCAATGGGAGAGACGTTACAATACAAACAAATAGAAGATAGAACTGATTATATGAAATATGGTATTGGTATTCGTAAAAAGGGGTCAACAACAATTGAAATTATTCCAGTAGAACATTTTAATCTTCGACATGAGATTAGTGATGCTGAAGTTGTTCATGCAGAACCTGGAACATATTTAGAACAAAGGTTGGATTTAAATAATAGTTTTGGTACTTCAAGACATGCAATTAATAAGGTATTGAGAGGAAGAATGGAAGAAGTTACTGGGACACATGACATTGAAAGAGAAGAAGTTGTTCCCGGAGAAAAGGAAGAAAAGAAAGATGTTCTTGATCCAAAAGACTTTCCTGATATTCCACCATTTGATCCTGTTACAACTGAAGCATCAGAAATATTTGCACTTGATACTTTAATGACACCAGATGAGAAGACATATTATTCTAATTGTGCACGTGATGTTAGAAATAAATTGAAAGCTAAAGATCCTGTTAAAATAAATGAAGTAATGAATATTATAAAAACAACTAAATTTGGAGCATCATTTGTTCCATTACTTTCTCAAATGGAAAAAGTAAGATTATTAACTGTTGTTAGTTTATTAGAACTTTATCGTTCTCTTAATGTCCTCTTTATTAAAGGTGCTCATATAAAATCAGAGAATATAGCAAGAAAAGTTGCATCTGAAAATTGGATTGATGAAACAGTTTTTGTTGGACTTTGTGATAGATTTTTAGATAGTATTAATGAAAGTGAATCTAAGAAGTATATATATTCTAATTTAAATAAAATGTTAATAACTAATACTGCCATTGTGACTGCTTTACATATTTGTAATTTTTCTATTTCCATGGGATATGTTAAAACTATTGGTGTTGATTTTCTAATGGTTGATATAGTTACTAAAAGACATCTTATTCGTATAGGATGTATAAAAGAGTCTAAGGCAAATGGAGGAGTTAGAAGAGAAGAGTGTTATACATTGAAGGCACCAATTAAGATTGTTTCAGAACAAAAACATAAGAGAGCTTCTCAGAAAAAGGTATTTTGAGATGATTGTGACTGAAATAACGAATGTTAAGATTTTTGTTGGTTTCTTTTTTTTTTAAAAAATTGAAACAAGATAGTCTCAATAACAAAAAAAAAGAAATAAAGAAGAAGGAAATATTATGATAATGAAAAGAAAAATAGGAACTTGAAGACATAACATTTATGAAGAAATTATTTGAATTGCAACAAAATGAAGAGGCTTATAATAAGTTACTTTTTGTTGATGCTCCTATAGTAAAAGAAGAATATCATCCACCTAATTTTCATTTAACAATTAAAATTATTTGTATTGATGGTGAACTTATTGTTGATAAAGTAATATGTGAGAAAGTAAAAGGATTATTATTAAATGAGTTTAATAAATTTAATGAAGAGGATGACAAATTTGTATTTTTGAGAAAACCAAGGTTTATTATCCAATCATTATTACGACCATATATACAAAAATGTAATAGTAAACCATTATTTATATTTAAAAGTACTTCAGAAGAACAGTTAAATTTATTACTTGATGGGTATTATGAGTTACAGATGATTAATAAAATTTTTATTCATGAACTTATTGATTGGATGACTGTTAATGATAAATACCAAATACCTATTGATATTGAACAGTATATTATCTCTCAATTTGATGTATTTAATCCACAAGATGTATCAGCATTAGCATTTTTATATTCTAAACTACAACAACCTGCATTAAGAAGATATTGTTTTGAATCATATATTACTATCAATGGTATTTCATCAACAAGAAACCAACTAAAGGAAAGTATTGGTTCCTTAACAGCATTTGTTGTTTCAAAGATTTTAGAAGGTATTTCTTTATTTCCTGCTGTATTAACAGAGATTCTATCTGGAAGCCTTAAAGAAAATGAATTATTTGATGTATTACAGTCTTGTCTTCATTTAGTTCAATACGAACAACAAAGAAAGGATTTTGTATTAAGAAATAATTTAACTCTCCTTCAGAATAAAATTACTTCTCTTCAAACAAAATCAAATGATATTGTTATGCTTTTCCTTCATACATTTTCTCTTTGTAGTCAAGAAACAGAAGCACAAACAGAATTATGGAATAATGGATTATATCAAACTGCAGTTACTTTAGCAAATAATAGTGGAGATGATTGTATGATTTATATATGTATTGCATCATTAGGAGCATATTGTGGTACAGTAGAACATAATGTTAATGTTGTTCAAGCTGGATTTCATCAATTTATTATGCAACACATTCAAAGTACTACAAAAGAATTTAGAGAAGCAAATTCACTGATTGCAACAGAAACATTAATTAAATTATTCACAACAAATCTTATTTCTAAAGAAGAAAAAGAATGTTTTGTTGAGAATTTACTTGACTTTATTGATGAAAGTCTTTATATTCCAGCTATAGTGAATGGACTTCAATTAATTAAGACACTTGTTAATGATAATGCACATAACCTTTTATTAGCAAAACGATGGTTTTCATTATCACGATTAGTTACAAGATGTAGTTCAGAAAAAGCAATAATTATTGGGGTATTTAAAATTTGTGTCAACAGATATAGAGAAACAACACAAGGTATTGATCCAGAAGAAATGTCAGTGTATATTGGAGTATGTTTAGATCATATTGATGATGAAGAAATTATTAGCAATGCATTAACATTTTTCCAAACAATAACTAATAATAAAGAATGGTGTGAAGTTGCAGTGAAGAATGGTTTACAACTTGTAGTAAGTGAAATTATCAAGAGATATCAAAAGCATGAAATGATAGAAGTTTGTTCAACAACGTTATTAGTGAATATAATTCAAAATAATTTTGGAATACTTGAATTTTATTCAATGCAATTACCTGAGGTATTATGTCGCGTTATGAACACTTACGAACATAATTCATTAATTCAAGACCAATGTGGAATAGTATTAGTTTATCTTCTAGACGCTAATCCAAACAAAGATGAGTTACTTGAATGGGCAACAGTATGTTATAAAGCAGCACTTGAATTTGTTGGTAATTCATCAATTCAATGTAATTCATTAACAGTAACATGTCAATACCTTCAAATAACTAATGATATTGATACTTTTAATAAGAATGGATGGATTGATATTTTTGAAGTAACAATGAAGAATTTTACTTGTGATTTAGACATTCAATACCATGGTATAAAATTGTTATTATATTTATTAAAACACCAAAGTTATTCTTCTGAAGTAGAATTAATGAATTATTTTTCTATTACTGTTATTAAATGTTCATCTTGTAAAGAAATATTAGAAGGTGTTTGTGATTGTGTATTACAATTGATATCTCCATTGAATAATAATTGGAAGAAGAACTTAACATTTCTTAAAACCCAACCTTTATTAATTAACCTTGAGAAATTTTCATCATTATATAATAATGATGTTCCTTTGGCATTGAGATATAATTCATTGCTTATTTATAGTCAACAAATAAACTCAAATGGAGAAAATACTGTAGCTTCTACTTATCATTTTATACTTAATGAATACATTAATTCAATTTATCAAAATGATTATATTCTTAATGCTTCACAAGAAGCACAGAGTGTTAGTGATTTCTTGAAATTAATTTCAAATTTTGATTTTGATGAAGATTCAATACAATGTACTATTGCTGCTATGGCAATTCTCTCAAATACAAAAGAATTTTCTAAAGAAGCATACAACTATTACAAAATGGTTGCAAATCATTTTTTTAAAACAGATAATATATTAACAAGAAAATACTCAACACTCTTTTTTGCCCTTCTACCAGAGTCATTATATGATGTTGATGCAATATCTAATTATGCTGAAGCAGTAACAAGTTCTTTACTTACTAATTTCCAAATAGCTGAAAATGAAATAGACCTCGTATATATTACATTTATTTCAATCAATCGTATTATAAAGAAAGTTCGTATTTGTCGTTCAGTTGTTTATCAATTTAATGCAATGAAAACAATCAATAAATTAGTAGATAAACTTAAAGCAAATTTCACTCCTGAAATGTCTAAAGAAGCTGATTTATTACTTAGACAGATTCAATAAGAAGAATATTTTATGACTAATTTATTATTATTTTTATTTTGTCATTTAAGACTGAAACAATATTTTGTAGTTTTTTTTTAATAATCATCAGTATCTTCAATCTTTCATTTCAATAAAAGAAGTGTTTGTATTAAATAGTAATATTTTTATTTTAATAAAGACATTAAATTCAATTTTTTTTAAATACTTATTAATATGAATAATTAAAACCATAGTTTTAACAAATTAGACTTATTTTTTGTGGATTTAGATAAGAGAAGACGTATAGAATCATTGAGTAAAAATAAAGATTTAAAGTAATATTTTGTAACTTCTGAATATCTTATTAAGGTATTTTAAGCAATTATTTTTTCATTATATTAGAGAAGAGAGCATCAATAAAATTACTATTTTTATTTATGAAAGATGAAAATATTTTAATAAGAATATTTAATTAAGGTTTATTTTTTAAGGAGAATATACTTATTATTTTCATTAAAAAATAATAGAGTATTTATTTAATGATTACATTAGTAATATGGTTTAATATTTTTTTTGGTTTATTTCCATTTTATGAGCATTTTTGATACTTCACGTTTATATTACTGAACGACTGTTAAAACCTAGTTTGGTGAAGTTTTTGATTTAAAATACCAATATAGTCAGATACTAAAAATAAATTTTATTGAAAATAAATCACTGAAGTATTTAATTCCAATTTAAAAACAGTGACTGATAAAGTTTTGAACTTAAGGTTTAATCAAAATGAAAAAGAAGTTATAAACAGTTGAATGCACTTTGTTTTGGAAGGGAATTATTGTAATAATTTATTAAAAAATCATATTCTAATTAATGTGTTTTTTTGATGTAATTTCTTTGAAAGAAGTTGACCATTCATATAATAAAATTTCAAATAGTTTAAAAATGTTATTTATTCTTCTATTGTAGAGAAAATCTTTAAATAAAATAAAGACGACAAAAAAAAAAATAAATCAAATATTGAAAATAATACTGAATTTTAACCATATTAAGTTATTTGAATAACTCCATTTCTTTTTAAGAATAATAAGATAGTTTATTTTTCATAAAGAAGAGTTGAATCAATTCATATATGGTGAAGTAATCTCTAAAAAAGAAACTTCCGAATAGTTTTGTGACGATTGACACATTAATGTGAAGTAGTTTTTGTACATGTCTTTTTCTTTAAAAAGGACAAACACCTTTTTGAGGGTTGACTTGGTTATTTCTTTATTTGTTAATCATTTAAAAAGAAAGTATGACTATTTAATATCATTTTAAGACACTAACTACCCAACAATGAACAGAAGTTCTGTTAATTACAGAGATAAGAGAAATTATAAAATTGCATTAGAAAGTGTTTTAATTGCATTATTGAATAGACATTTTGAAATTGTATTAAGAAAACCAAAGTCAAAATCAACAACAACATTATCTTATATTGAAATTGAATCAATCAAAAGAAATAACGATAGTTTACAAATAAATACATTTGTTGAAGAAAGAATAAAGACACTTATTGAAGACCAAATTAAAAAAGGATATAAATACTCAACAATTATGTCAAAATCAAGAAGAATGAAAATTGAAGAAACAAATAGCTTGTTAGTAGATCTTCTAACAGAAGAAGGATATTTATTTATTACAAAAACAATTATGAAAGGTACTGTAATAGTAGATAAAATAAAATATTTAGAGTCATTTTCTATTTCTTATAATGATATTATTTTAATTGGGAAACAAATCAATGAATGGATTATTTCTAAATTAATTAATGAGCAATCAATTCTATTAATTTTAAATAATAAAATGTTATCAATATTTTTAAAAAAATATTTCAATCAAGAATGACGCTTATTCTTTAAACTCAAAAAAGCTAAAATAATATTCATTTGTTTCGTAATGGATAATGCTATAAAAAATTTGTGTTTATTCCATTTCCGTGAAGAAATCAACCAAGCCTTCTTAAATGGAGAAAAAGAAAATGTTTTAGAACAAATTATATTAAAATATATTGATGAATATAGAAAATCTGAAAATAAAAGTAACATACAAGAAGAACCAGAAGAGTGTAGTATTTGTTATGGTGAAATGGATAACTGTTATACCATTCCTGGATGTGGACATAAATTCTGTTTTGAATGTGTTCAAGATACAGTTAAACAAGCACTTCAAGATAATCAAGTAGAAGTTCATTGTCCAGAAGCTGGATGTACTTCAAAAATACCAACTTCAGAGTTGTATGCTAAGTTCTTTACACCAGAAATGTGTAATAGATTTACAGAAAATTCAAGACGTGTATTTCTTAGTGCACAAAAAAATTGTAAATTCTGTCCTAAATGTGAAGCAGGGTTGTTAATGACAGATAACAAAGTAAAGGCACAATGTCCTATTTGTAAATCCTATTTTTGTACTAATTGTTTATGTGAATATCATGATGGTTATACTTGTGAACAATATCAAAAATGGAAAGCTGAAAATGATAACGCAGATGAAATGTTCCGAGAATTTATTAAAACACATGGAGAATGTCCAGAATGTCATATGGTATGTGAACGTATAAGTGGATGTAACTATATTAAATGTATTTGTGGTTGTGGATATTGTTATAAATGTCACAAAAAGGTTAAACATTTTTCTCCACACATTTTACAGGCTAATTGCTCTCTTTCAGGTGAAGGTCATGACTAGAGAAACTAACTACAAAGTTAATTTGTTGATGATAGAAGATTGTTTTCAAAGTTATTTATTTTCCTTTTGAAAAGAAAGAATAAATAGGAAAGTTCCAAGTAAATTCAAAATTCCCTTTGTGATTAACTCTAAACTAATAATTCATATCATTCAATGAGTTCTTTACTTAAACTCTCAAGTACAAGTCTTAAACCTAAATCAGTTGAATCACAACAATTATACGCATATTCTGAGATTATTAACCATGCACTACATTATGAGAAACCAATAATAAATGATATTCTTAAAGATTTACAAGATGGTATCATCCTTTCAAGATATCTTCAGATTGAAACAGGAAAAGTAATCTCAAATATTATAAAAACTCCAATCACACAAAAAGATAAAGAAAATAATTTAAAATTAATTCTTGAATTCATTAAGAGTCAAAATATAAAAGTTACTACTACTGTTCAAGACATAATGAATGGGGAACCTAAACCAATCATTACCCTCATGTTTTATTTAATGTATAGATTTAGATTAAATGATACTCCAGTTAGAATTATTGATTTCTCTAAATGGATTAAATGCATATTAAAAATTAATAACCCATTATTTGACTTAAAAACTGAGTTTTCTGATGGTATTCTTTTTGCAAGAATATTAAATTATTATAAACCAAATATTATTGCTTATAATACTCTTACTAGAGATAAAATTAAAACTGTTTCTACTTGTTTACAATTAGCTAAAAGTCAATTAAATATTCCTATTTTATTAAGTGCACAAGCTATAGGAGCAAATCAGTTAGATGACAATTCATTAGTTCTTTATTTGTCATATTTTATTATAAAGGATAATAGATTTGGACCAAGTGATATGAAAGTAGCAGAAAAAATCTTTCTTGGGAGAAGAGAACGAACTAAAGAAGTAAGAAGAGCTAAAAGAGATGAATTAATTGAAGAGTTAGAAAAATTAATGGATATTTGTCGTAAAAATACTGATGAACTTGTTAAAGATAAAATAGAAAAATTACGAGTCAATGTAGCAAATATGATGGAAGGGTTAGAGATGGTTGAAGTAGAAGAAGATGAATTTGATGAAATGGATAATGATATGATAATTCAAGAATTAAATATTCATAAAGGAAAAATAGATAACATGATGCTTGAAGCAATGGAATTAGTTAAAGAAGAATCAAGCACTCCAATAGAAATTAGAGGAGAAGATTCACAAGCTCTTGAAGAATTAAGAGTTCAAATCAAACAAAAAATTAAAAAGATAGAAGAATTAGAAAAGCTTGTTTCAGTAATGAAAGAAAAAAAAGAAGAAGCAGAAAAGGCAGAAAGAGAGATGAGAATGAAATGTCAAAATGAAAGTACATTAATGGGAATTATAGAAGAATTTGAAAAAAGTGTAAAAGAACTTAACGATAGAATCAAAGAAAAGAACAAGCAAATCGATGATTATGAAAAAACTATTGAAGAAAATAAAGAAGATTTTGAAGCAAAAGAATTAATAATTCAACAATTAAAAGATGAAATAATTCAATTAACAAATACTGAACAAAAACTCAAAGAACAATTAGAAATTAAAGAAAAAGAGCTTCAAGAACAAACTAAAGAAGTTAAAGAACAAAATCAACAACAAAATATTATTCAAAAAAAAGAACAAGAAATAATTGATATTAAGAAAAAGAATGAAGAAACAATACAGTTAATTCAAAAAGAAATGGAAAAAGAAAGAAATGAGTTAAGTATTAAAATAAAAGAATTAGAAAATATAATTTCAGGAAAAGAAGAAGAAATGAATAAAATAAAAGAAATACATGATTATAAAGAAAAAGAAATACAAAGGATAACTGAAAAAATGAATAAAGAAACAGAAATAAATAATAAAACACAACAAGAATTAAATAAAATAAAAGAAGAAAATAATGAATATAAAAATCAAATTAATACATTAGAAATTGAAATTAAAACAAAAGAAGAAGAAAAAGGAACTACAGAATTAGAATTAAAAGAAAACCAAAAAAGTATTCAAGAATTAAAAGAACTTAAAGAACAAGAGCGAATTAATAAAGAAATAAAAGAAAAAGAAGTTAAAGAGTTACAAAAGATTATTGAAGAATGGAAAGTAAAAGAGAAAGAATGGAAAGAACAAGTAGAAGAGAATCAAAAAGAAAAAGAAGAAAGTGAAGAAAACAAGAATCAAATGAAGAGAATAATTGAAAAGAAAGAAGAAGAAGTTAAAGGTCTTAATCAAGAAATTGACAAAATAAATAAAGAAAATGAAATTATGAAAGAAAAAATGAAAGAATTAGAAAGAATAAAAGGAGAGATTGAAGTTTTAAAAATAAAAGAAACTGGTGATTCAAATGAATATGAAAAAATGATTGAAGAATTAAAAAAACAAATAGAAATTATTAAAAATGATAATGAAAAAGAAAGAAAAAATAATGAAATTGAACAAAAAAAAAAGAATGAAGAGTTCAACCAAAAAGAAGAAGAATTAAATAATGATATTGAAAAGAAAAAGAAAGAAATTGAGAAACTTAATAAACAAATAGAAGAATTAAAACAAAAGAATGAAGAGAATACAAAAGAAAATATAGAAAAACAAAATCAAATTAACCAATTAAATTTAGATAAAGAAAAAATAATGAAAGAATTAGAATCAACAATAATGGAAAAGAATCAAATTGAAGAAGAAAGAAAGAAAGAACAAGAAATAAATGAAAAGAAAATAAACGATATTATCACATCAAAAGATACTAAAATTAATGAATTAAATAAAAGTATTATTGAACTTAAAGAAGAATGGAATAAAAAAGAAAATAATCTTAATAAGAGTAATCAAGAATTAACTGAACAAATTATTCAGAAAGAAGAAATTATTAATGTTACAATAAAAGAAAATGAAAATTTAAAAAAAGTAAAAGAAGAAATTGAAAAGAAAACAGAAACAGAAATTAATGAATTACAAAGAAAAATTAAAGAAAATAATGAACAAATAAATGAAATTAATAAAGAAAAAGAAAATATTCAAAAAGAATTTGAAATACAAATTGATAATAAAAATAAAGAAATAAATGAAATAAAAGAGAAAAATGAAAAAGAAATAAATGAAATTAAAATACAAATAGAAGAAATGAACAAAGAAAAGAATCAATTAGAAAATTTGAAAAAACAATTAGAAAATGAAAATGAAATAATAAAAAAAGAAAATAAAAAGAAAGAAGAAGAAAACAAAGAAATGGGATATTTAATTAAAGAAAATGAAAAGAAAATTGAATCAATTAGAAATGAAATAAATAGTAAAGAACGAGAACTTGGAACAAAAATCAAATTAATTGAAATGATTAAAAATGAAAAAGATATTATGGAAAAAGACTTTAAAAAAGAAGTAGATAATAAAAATATTGAAATTAAAAGACTTCAAATTGATATTGAAAAGAAAAAAAATGATATTACTTTAATTATTCAAAAAAATGATGAAGACAAAAAGAAAAGTATTGAAGAAAAAAAGAATTTAAATCAAGAAATTGAAAAAATAAAGTCTGAAAAAAATGATGTTCAAAAAGAAAAGGAACAAATTCTTTTGGAAAAAGAAGATTTACAATCAGATTTTAATAAATACAAAACTCAAATGGAAAATGAAAAACTACAAATAAAAGAAGAACATGAAAATAATATAACAAATTTACAAAATGAAATAAATGAAAAAATAAATCAAAATGATGAAATTAAATTACAAATTGAACAATTAAATAAACAATTAGATGAATTAAAACAACAATTAGTTGAAACTCAAAAAGAAAAAGAAGAAGAAACAAAAAAATATGAAGAAGTTAAAGGACAAATTGATGGTGCACATCAAGAAGTTGAAAATATTAAAAAAGAAACAGAACAACAAATTAATCAAATGAAAAAAGAATGTGATGAAATGCAAAAAACAACATTTGAAGCAAAAGAAGAATTAAGAGTTCAAGTCGAAAGTGTAAAAATGATTGAAACAAAAGTTTCAACACAAAAAGTATCAAACACCAAATTAAAAAAAAGAGTAGAAGAATTAGAACGAACTATAGAAAAATTAAAAAATGAAAGAAATGAAAAAGAAGCATTTTGGGAAAAGAAAAAAATGTGGATGATTGAAGATGAAGAAGATAAAAAAGTGTTATTTAATAGTCTTGCTTTAGGAATTAAAATGGTAATGCCAAAAGAAGTTTTAAAAATTGATAATACAATGTTGTATAATGAATGTAAAAGTAAAAATATTCCTATAAAAGATTGGTATTCTTGGTTGTTAGAAACATTAAGTCAGAAAATAATGTGATAATAATCCCATTTTATTAATTATCTTCATTTTTTTGGCTTTAAAAGAAAAAATTCTTTAATAAAAAACATTAATTCATTAATAACTTAAATTTTCTTTTTTCTATTCTGTTTTTTACTAATAGAAATTATACTCTAGAAACATCATTAAATGAATAGTATAATAATATTATCCTTTTTCATTAATATATCATATTTTATAATATCTTTACTATCATTTAATATCATTCTTTTTATATCAATATTATTTAAAATGTTTTTTTTTAATTTATTTTTTGGAATTTAGTTTCTTCATTGTAAATTTAATCATTTTTATATTTTAATTTAATATCAATACTTATTAAACAACTATTATTCAATTAACTTATTATTGTTTTTTTTAATTAAAATAAATAGATCGAAGGTGGCACATCTAAAACACCACACATAAACCCTAGTACAAATTCATTCTTCGACTCTCCCAGTTATTATCTGGTTATGACGGTGCCTTTGAATTATGAATGTTTTATGGAATGCTGCAAAGGGTGCAGCAAGAGAATACAGTAGAATATTACATGGATGTAATATAAGAATATACTGAAGTGTGGGTATGACTAAAAGAAGATTAGTCAAAGTAAGACTAAAAAGAAGATTAGTCAAAGTAATACAGTAGTAATAAAATGATTCCTTCTCCCATTCATAAAA